TGTAAGTCACATGCAATTAGTTTAGTTACACATACACCATAACAAATCACAAAAACACAAATTACATATATTTTAATATTTTTTCTTTATTATTATTCATTAAGTTAAGTTTTTGAACTTTACTAAACTCTAAGACAAACTATTAGAAGTATAATAGTAGGTATAGCCGTTTAAAACCTATTAAGTTTCTATGAATGAAAAAAAAAATATATTTGTTTATATGGAAGACCTATGCAAATATCATAAAAAAAGTTGTGATTTTGACGCAGTAACATATACGCATACAAGTATATATACATATATAAGCTTATGACTTACTTTACACGAGTTCGTACCTAAGTGACCCCCAATTTTGTTTTAATGACTTAACTTAAAGAAAAATAAAAATACACATATATATTAGTGTGGATTTATTGATGGCTTGTTAAAATAAGTATAACGGCGAATAGGAAGTATCTATGACACAATTGCCAATTAGCACTTTCCATTGTCAATTGTTAGCAATTTTGAAGGAATATGTATGTATATCTGGGTATGTATATTAGTGTATGACAACCCAAAATAGTTAATTAAGCTATTTATACAATCTAYATCATACTAAAGAAACTTCTTCAAAAAATATTCACCTCAAATTTTAAAAATATATTTGCATATACATACATATTTATAAATAGCTTTGTTAAATATTTTGGTTTCATTTTTACCAAAGCTCTGTACTGAATACTCCCAGTGAGCAAGTTAATGTCCGAATACTAAGAGGTGTTCTTACATATTTATACACTCAATAACTTTATATAGAAAACTTGGAATAGCTAATATATTTTTGAAAAATATGCAATAAAAAATGTATTTTTAATAAAAGCAAAAAAAATCAACTATGAGCTTCCTATGGTTAACCGCTATGCTTAATCGATAGATTTCAGCAATATCTTCTTATGATTCCGGGAGATGGAAAATTTGTGGTATCATTTTAATTCAAACGCTTAACTTTTGTGTAGAAAAATCGATAAAACTGGCTTTGTTAGGAAATATATCGACTTAAAAAATCGTTTTTTATCGATACTTTGATAACAATATCGATCATTTCTTATCTACAAAATGCATAGCTATTTATATATTCTCATTTATTATTATCAAACTTCAGTCCTATAATGTACTAACTTAAAACTATTTTTTTATATTTAATTAAATAGTCAATTAAATTTTTTTTTATTTTACTAATAGACAATTTGCAGATTAACTAATTTGTCACTGARACATTGAGTGTCAACAGATTTCCACTTGGCTGCTCAGCTGTCAAATAAGACTCAGTGATTTGATTACTGAATATTTTTAATGAGGTCGCTGGGCTTGTTGCTTGTTTAWGGTAGTAACCTTGTCATAAAAAAGGGTGTTAAATTGAATTGTTACATATTTATAGTAGTGACCTTGATAAAAAGGGGTGCTAAAATTTTAATTTTCAGGTTCTGGTAAAACATGTGGATATTTTAACTACACCAAATTTTTGAAAGAACATAATCAGATAGGAATATTTCCTTAGCTGATATCTTGAACCCAAACCATACCCTATCTATTAGTTTTAAATTATGATTTTTTTGGCATAAATTTTATATTAATTTCGTTCTGAACCACGACTCCATTATACATTTATTTTTCCTAATTTCTGATGAAATTAGTATTTTAATTTTTTTTATTATATTCATTATTTTTTTTTTATTTAAGTTAATTTTCCATTATTTGCTCTGCGGAAATTTAAAATCGCATCAGTTTTCATTAAATTGAAAAGCAAAAATATGTACATATATGTATTTCATATATATCATATATTGAAGTCAAACAGGTGCATTCAGTTCAATATGGCTACAAAAATAGATATCTGAATTTAGTAGTWAACTATTATATAATYTGCAAAGCGTGTTATGCATGTTTTAAAGAGATTAAATTCTAGTCTAAACTAGTCAACCGGGATTTCATGCCACGCAAGTGCAGCAGAKCTTAGTTATTTATTGTTCAGCAGAAAGTCAAAGAACAATATGTTTATAATATTGCACGATCTTTATGTAAATTAGGACATACCTAAGTAGTTTAATGAAATTAACCAACTTCACGAATCTCATACCGGTTAAGTTTTTGTGGAAGATCGTAAATAAAACGACGTGAATGCATAAATATTTTCACTTTGAAAAGAGAGTTTAAAATATTAAGAATATATAAATTTGCACAAGCACAATTGCCGTTAAAACGATGACGATCTCGTTAAGGTGTTACATGGGTTTCCTCAGGTAAAAACAATATTTTTTTCAAAATTTTTTTCTCATATAAAAAATGAAATATTATATTTTATTAGAATTTTTGCCATTAAAATTTCGCGACATTTTTTTTTTTTAAATGTCCATCTTGGACTTTTTCGTTATTTAATGTACATATGTACTACGATTATCACAAAGAAGTAGTTCATTTTAAGGGAGTAAATCGAACATTTTTGTTCTTTTTCAAAAACTATGAATCGAAAGSGATTYTAATAATTTTCATAAYAATACCTATGAATATCTTTAGAATAGTGARCAGAKTATATTAAGTKTGTCRCRAAGTTTGTTAYACTCAGAAAGAAGCGTTGGAGATTCTATAAAGAGTATATATATGTATAAACAATTAACGTGACAAGCCTAGAATATTTTTAAAATGCCCGACTGTCTATATAACTGGTACTAGTCCCTCAATTTTTGAGTTATCGATCTGAAATTTTACCCWCSYTMTTTTGTTCTTAAGAAATTGCTCATTTATCGAAATATAAAATTGAACGATTTGAAAGATGTTCTTGTATGAAAAACCTTTTTATTTGACGAGATATCTTCACAAAATTTGACATAGCTTATTATCAAATAAAGACGCTTGACGAGATACCTTTWCGCCATTTAACATGCAGTATTGCCCATGGTAGAGGTAGAATATCCGTAGAAACTGTTTAGATTGGATCACTATAGCTATACAAACTGTACAAGATCTTAATTAGGAACATATTTCATTATAAGCAAACTTAATTTGGCTTGACGGTTATTTATATCAAACCAGGTTATTAGAAAGAACTGGCACATCGCTTTCCCTATCTATAGTTGCTGCAAAAAAGTACCTGTGAATATTGTAGTTTCGTTGCCAAAATTTTTCTTTTTTTGTTTTATTTTTCCATTAATCAATTTGTTCTTATTTATTTTTAAACATTTTAAAATAAAATACATTTTTTCTCCTGCGAATTTAAGGTTTCACAGAGATAATCTTTTTTTTTTTTGTTTTCTTTATGTGTAAAAATTTATAAAATGCACGTAGGAGTTTGAATTTACACAGAAATAGGCATACAAAATCATTTAAATAAATTTGGCAAGTTGCGGTAAACCAGTTAATTCGCTGTAAAGGGAAAGTAATGTATATAATTAAGCGCTCTTCTTACGATTTCAATTCATTTAAATTTTAATTACTTTTTTTCACAAAACACAGTCATCACTTTATCTGAATGTAAAATCAACAATAGTCTTACAGTTATTCTCGTAAAAAAATATGCTATCTTGGATATCTAAGGTCGCAGGATGTTGATCATACGCAGCGTAGGCACTGTCTGTTGTAGTAACATACACTGTAATGTTCACATTTCTTTTCATTTCACTTCACTATTTGTATATCTTTCAATGGTGCTTTATATCATTTTTAGTCCATTTTAAAATACTACACGCCTCACCTGTACTTTAATTTAGACAATTCAGCTCTCTAAGCCCTGAAACGTTGCACGATTTTGTTGGCTGACAATCACGCACCCGCGCTAAATAGTTCACTACGGCTATGGTTGCTGTAACTTTTCAAACTAACGGTGCTAATGGTGTATTTCTCAGCGAAAATGTGCCGCCTAACTTTTCAAGCAACCGCTTCACACGATAACCATTCACGTACTGAGCTTCTTGCCACGATCGCGCGGCACTAAGTATCTACACTTCCGTGGGTAAGCAAACTCCTATGCTATACATATGATCAGCTAGCTACTGGTGCGAAGTGAAGAGACAACTGAACTGTATATATATATATGTATGTATGTAGAAAGAAATATATCAGAAGAAAGCTCAAGAAATGGCCATAAACCCACACAAGCTTCAAACGCATGCATATAAACAATTATWTATTAAAAGTACGTAAGTACATACACAAGCAAAATAAATTGTCAGACRCAGTTTCGTTTTCAGCTCCAAATGCTGTGCCGCTATAAGCTGACACACATTTACGCTAGAATGTGTATGTGCCGTCTCATTGGGGTAGTTAATTGATCGCTTCACAGCTTCGTTAGCTCGTTCGTTTGCTATGCAGTCGGTTGTTTGACGAGTTGCGCACGACCGACTTCATTTGTTCTACAGTGCCACGAGCGCATTTCGCGTCTTCGGCTGTCTTGTTCTTGACATTCGCGTTTTTTAATATTTTTTTATTTTTAATATTTTAAGATTGGTTGATTTTAATTCTTCTATTATTCTTCTTGGCCACAATTATTTTACCTACCAAACATAGTATGCAGCTTACGGAAAGACACTAGCGAACTCGCTTGGAAACACAAAAGCAACAAGCAATAAAGTGGTGTTTGTTGTATGTGTTCGATCCGATCGGCAGTTTTGATTGATGATCACTGTTGTTTTCATTTTTTTTTTTCAACACTTTGCCTTCCGTTTTGGATAATCTTCTTCCTGCACTTTGCGATGTCAAGGGTCGGCATGCAGAAATAACTACCGTGCTTATAAATTAGCTAATCACAAACAGACTGCAATAAATTTGCGCTGCATACACTGTGGCAATTGCCAATTTGTTTCCACAAACAATGCTTCAATGCATTTGAATTGCCAAATATCAAACAGCATTTTTTTTTATCTCTAAACGGTTATGCGCAACGGCAATTAATTTTTGCAGTGCTAAACAAAGCTCGCCTTGTCTCGCTCGCCGTCGCTGCTGTTCAAGTCTGCAGTSGCGGCAAACTGGTTCAAGCGAAGACTTGACTTTGAACTTGAAAAATTCYGCTTAAGTTTACAGCCAAAATTGTTTATGCTTTTTGTGTTTACCGTAGTGTGTGTTATCATCAGGTTGATCATGTCGGCAGTGTTGGCCACTCTGGTAATCTCAATGGAATTAGTTTAAATTAATCATACATTTACTTAATGATGCACTATATAAGTTAATTAGGCTTGACACGAGGACGGTTTGAAGAGTCTATGACCTTTTTATGTTTTCTGAATATACTGGTAGATCTTTCTTAAGATATTGATTTCTGAGTATAAAATAAATATCGAAAGTGTAAATATTAAAAAAGTGGAGGCCGACGTACGAAATGTTGCTGGAATTGCATATACAATATAGTATACTATATGAATTTTAATACAAATGTTCCAAAAACACAGTGTAGTTCTAGAAGTGCCTCAAAATAATCTTTATAAGTACCTTTCTGATGAATAATGATTAGACAATGCAACAAAAAGGAATCAAGTCGATTTATCTAGGAAGTGATGCTATTTTTCTTGTAGGTTGTGTAGMGTAGAACGGTAATCCAAAATTGTAATTTGCAAACCACCCCTAAAATCTCGCGATAAGCTTAAAAACCGAATTTTCTTATTTGTCCGCTCTATTGACCCATATCAGAGCTAATCACAAACCGATTTCTAAGTTAATAAGGGTTTAGGTAAGAAAAAAATCACACCTTTGGAATAATATAAAGACGTCCTAATAAAGCTTAGATGCCGAGAGTTAAAGAGTGAAGCGAGGCGCATATGCCGACAAAGTTTTGAAGTGAAGGGAGTTTGATGAACTTGAGCACCTGGCGGACAGGGCTAATGGTCGAAAATTCTATTAGCGGAATGTTTCAAGGCCAGAGCATACTCTTATAGGTCCTAAAGAGGTGATCTAATCAATTACCCACCTGAGGAACAACAAAGCGACGGGGCCGGTCAATTTCAAATACGTCGGCGAAAAAACTGAAAAGGCTCATGCATTACCTTCTTTGCAGGATATGGTCGGATGAAGGCATGCCCAATGATTGGAACTTAAGTGTGCTTTGCCCAGTCCACAAATAGGGGGACCACACAATCTGCGCTAATTATCGTGAGATAAACCCACCGTGTATGGCTTTAGTCCTCAAAAATTTATTATTGATCAGATTTTCACCAAACGCCAAATCTTAGAATAGACCGGTGAAAGGAAGAACAACACACACCACCTCTCCGTCGATTTTAAAGCTGCCTTCGACAGCCCGAAAAAAACTGCYTCTATGCCGCTATGTCTCTATTTCTGGTGAAAATAATACGAGCTGCAGAGCTAAATAGAGAATGTACATTCTTCTATAAGAGTGTACAGATGCTGGCATACATATATTACATCATTGGTCTCAATAACCGCGCCGTTGGTTCTTCTTTCTTCAGAATGGATAAGGAAGCGAAGCGAATGGTTCTGGTTTTAAATGAGAAGTAGACAAATTATCTCTTGTCATCAATGAAATAATCGTCTGACTCGTGACTTGGCCACTTTTAGGTGACATCACATATCTTGGCAACCGCTGATCGATTTCAACCAAATTTGGTACGTGACATTYTTTTTCAAGTATTGGTAATGCTAAAATTAATGTATTCAGCCTGTCCGTTTCTCAGCTCTCAAATGATTTAGAAGATATTTACATCAAATAAATTAGAGGCCGAAGCGCCGGTTGGTCAGTCATCYGACAATAAAAAAAAAWAATAATAATAATAATAAAAAAATCTTTCTTGCATTTTTAAAGGTGAGTATTGGTTTAAATACGAGGAGAAATTAACAACTTTCAATTCTCCAAATATCGTTAACGAGTCTCAAATATTCCTTTTATGGAGTAAGATCTTTTTAAGTRAATCTCCGGAAACTTATTATCAAATAAATATATTTTATAACAACTTTAATATTGCCAAAAATGTTTTTCATTTACCACATTTAACGCTCTATGCAACATTTTTCGCTTAGATATAAAATTCTTAACTAAATTAAAAGGTGCAAACGAACGCTCCGACTAACCCAGTTGTCTCGCTTGGCGCATATCATCTGCAAATGCACGCGCCGACGAAACGCATACGGAAGTGACAATGACCAAGAATTTAGCCACAAAATAAATTGGTAACAGGGCTATTAACGACTGCTGTGTCACGAGTGGATGCAAATTGTTAAGTGGACTGTTCAAAGGCAAGGCAAGTGTGCAGTAAAAATCGAAGGCCAAGCACAATTAAGAATCCAAAAATATAAGAGATAAATGTCTAATTGTGCTAAAATATATTTATAGCTATAATTCAGCGATCTCTGCATAAAACTATGTATTGAATYTCATTATGGAACGCAGTATGGAACTTTTCAAAAAAAAAAAAATAATAATAATAATAATAATAGTAAGTGGAATTCTTCCGAATTTATGTTATCTGGATTTTAATATAGTGTCTTAATTTTTGATCTTCAAAGCTTTTTATATAGTCGAACATAATCTACCTATACTTAGGTGATGTGACAAAAAAAGCACACGAAAATTGTAATTAAATTCCACGGATAAATGATATTTCAGGAAGTAAGAAAGGTCCAAGTTCGGGTGCAACCGAATATCTTAGACTAGTGGAACTTGCAAAAATCAAATCCAGGTACCTTAATTTGCAAAACCGATTTAAACCAATCAAATAGAATAAAATCAGATGGATGTCCGAATATCTTGGATACATTTATATGGGGTCTAAGTAAAGTTTTCGCTCAAATTTGTTTATTTTAGGCACGTTCTCTCATAATCATTGAGATAGCTCACATACTGTACGATATATGAGGTATAAAGTCACCCGGAAGTTCGAAAATATTTATATTAGGTATATGGTAGCTAGGGGAAATATTGGCTCGATTCAACCCAGTTTTGACACACATACATACCATTATGACATATGGCCGCAATGTTCGAATATAAGTCAACTAACGGTACTGGAATCCAAACATTCGGTACCTATCTCAATTTTTACTCCAGTTACAGTTTGCACGGACGGACGGACGAACAGACAGACAGTCACTCGGATTTCAACTTTTCTCGTCATCCTGATCATATATATATATGGGATATAACCCTAGATCTAACCCGATCAGTTTTAGGTGATTCGTACAACCGTTAGGTGGATACAACTAGTATAATGTCTAGTAGCAGTTTGCAAAAGTATCAAAAATGTATTTTGCTCAGTTTGTAGGACTGTCCCAAATGACTATGCCAAATATTAACGGGATCTGTCAACTAGTTTGCTTACAGCAGATGCTTAGGTCGGTATATCTCAGTGCGTTGCGATTTTTACAATGGCTGAAAATGTCGAACAAGGAATTTGTCTAAAATTTTGTATATCTAACCAAATTTTGTGGACGAATTCATTTTTAATGTTGGAAAAGGTTACGGTAATGAAAATATTAAAAAAATGAGGTATATGGATGGAATCTACCCATGGTGCTTAAAAATCGTTAGGCAAGTGTTAGAGAGATGTCAAGAGAGTACGACATTATATAGGCAAGTGTTAGAGAGATGTCAAGAGAGTACGACATCTCTCGGGAGTCGTTCGAATGATTTGATATGATCAAATGCGTTCTTTTTGACACGAACAGAGTACTGTAAAAAGGACGATCGATAATTCTATTTCCTCGTGTTGCGGCCTTTGCATGGAGACATCTGCCGAAAGCTGCCGGAATTGTGGAAGAACAATTCATGGATTTTACACRATGACAAAATACSTTCGCATCGAGCCATGATTATGACCGAATTTAAAGCCAGAAACGCAACGAATACCATAGAGCAACCACCGCATTCACCAGATTTGGCTCCGTTAGATTTTTTTCTGGCGCTCCTGRGAACCCGTTTTCATTCGTCGAGATAAAACGAAATTCGCCGAAGTAGCCATCCCAAAAAATGCTTATGAAAAAAGGTACAACAACCGCAAAAATCGTTGATAGAAGAGGTGTCAACTACTTTAAAAAA